GAGCGGCGTGGACGCGGGGGGCGGGGGACAGGGGAGGGGGCCGCGCCTCTGACTTAATGCTGGAACCATCCACGTCACGTGCGGCCCCGCGCGAGTTAACCCCTCGGAGCCCGGGAGCCCCCTGATTCACCCCAGTCCGCATTTCCGAGGCGGCTCGAGGAGAGGGGAAGACCCTTTTGTCTGCCCGACTTGGTGAGTCCTTCGCTCAGAGCAGAACCCTTGGTCCTGATTTGCAGTCTAGAGGCTCTTGCCCCTAGAGGGGTGCGGCAGTTGGACCGGGTAGAGACCTTCCCTCCACCCCCCACCCCCCAAAAAAAAACAAACTTGTAGGCCTAGTCTTCTGACAGCAGCCTGGGGGCCAGGTAAGGGCTAGGACTTTACCTAACTCTTGGCTGAGAGTTGGGAAACGTTGCCTCCAGCAACAGCACCTCCCTTAGGGATTTCTTGTTTCTCTCCGGGAGAGGAGTCTTTGGGAGCGTTGTGTATAAACAGCTCTGATCTGGGAATGGTGGCTGGGCACTATCGCGAGTTAGCTCTGGGACCTTGAACCAGCCTCTGCAGAGGTTGGACCGAGTCAGTTCTCAGAGCCTTTTTATATATTCTTGGTGGGTTCCAGAAGCAGAGACAGGGTCCGAGCAGATAGGGAGACTCACAGGGGCAGCTCAGGACTGAAGAGAGTACAGCAGAGGCTTTCTTTGGAGCAGGTGGAGAAATATGTAGAGTTCTGCGTTTGAACCACAGGCCTGGAGTGAATGCCTTTCGGGGGCCAACTGACCTGGAAGTGCCTGGGGACGTCCCGAAGGGAGCCTGCCTGCAGCACAGACCTCAGGGCCTGCTGCCCCAGGCCTGCCATTTTGCAGGCAGGTGAGGCTAGATTCATATCCTAAGAGTTGGGTCTCTCTAGCCAAAGGGAAGCATAGGACTAGCGCAGTAGCTTAGAATTTCTGAGAAGAGAAGCAACCCCCACTCTACCTAAGATGTGGGAAGAAATACCCGAGGGCCCTAGGAACCTGCTCACTTCCGTGCGTTAAGGAGTCCCTAAGTCTGGGTCACACCATTTTTATTTTCAGTGCCTCGAGAGACCAGTGAGAGGGATGGGGAGTCGAACATCATTTGTATTTCATTTGAATCCTCAATTTTTAAAGGAATCCAAGAGGCCTGGTGTGAACACCTCCCTCTTCCGCTGGGGGCTTAAAGGGGGTTTCTTGGCTGTCCTCAGCCAGAGTAGGGCTATAAATCAAGGCCAAACAGGAACCAGAAGCCTTGCATCTCACAAGTAGTCATTAAGCCATTATTAAACATACCGTAACTTCTCTGAAGCCTTATTGGTTTAAACACCACATTGGAGGCATTATGGCCATTAGGGCCCCTAATCACAGACTGCAGATTGGGGCAGTGAGATGTGAGCACCTGGGGCTGATATTTCCAGCCAAGAGGGAGGCTCAGCTCAGAATTAAGTTTCCTCTTTGGCCTCACCAGAGGGATCTATTCTTCAGGATCCAGTGGATCCCAGCTCTGGGTAACCAACTTGTATTGATCATTTTGCCCATTCATAAGGTTTTTCAATAGTTATTGGGATAGGGCTATGGACTTTGTATTCCTTTCAAGTGTTGTGTCAATTCAAGACACCTCTTCTATTCAACAAAGGAATCAAGTAGCTTGCTGTGGAAGATACAAGTATGACAAAGGAGAAATGTCCCCACCAACAGTTTAAACCTGGCAGCCTGACTTAAATGCCAAATGTTTTGCCTTAGGTGATAACATGATAACACTTTCTGGCTCATCATAAAAATGGGCCACGCACGTGAATGAAGGATATTGAAGAGGCACTTATGTTTTGATGGATGTGATAAACTGTGTTAAATTAAGAGATTATTGTTATGTGACGATATCCAGAAACAGCAGCCCAGATTTCTTGGTTATATCGCTGAATTGGTGGAAGGCTTCTGACACTAGACTGGGCCAGAGGCGGGGCTGAGCAGAAAGACCTAGGGACCTACACCCCTTCCTAAGCCCAGAAATTCCTCCTGCCATTCTCTCCCTTTCTGAACAGACCAATTTCCATGCTGAGATGGTGTTACCAATTGAACTGAGGCAGCAGGAAGCACCCCCGACCCCATTTCATTCAAGTTGGATAAGTAGATGGAGTTGCCGGCTCTGGGAGCCTTTTCTCCCAGGACCATGCAAAGCAGGATACGTTTGCTGCTCCCCTTTGCTGCTCCCCTTTTAAAGCACTAGTGCAAACTCTTATCTTGATCTGTATATGGTCTGGGAAAAGTGCATAGAAAATAGACAAAAAAAAAAAAAAAATAGTGACCTCAGAGTTACTAAGTTTTCCTTCTTAGGAGGGCTGAGAGGTCCCGAGGAACCACAGGGACTTCTCATTTTACAGATAAAAACAGTAGCTAACACTTACATAGTATTTACAGTGTGCTAGGCACTATCTCACGTAGTCTACATGCGTTGACTTATTTAAATCTCACAGCGACCTCACGAAGTTGGCACAATTATCATCCCTGTTTTATAGAGAGAGACTGAGGTTACGGAAGGGAGCTCGCTGTCCATTTAGTGGCAGAACCAGAATTTATGCTGCGAACCACGGTCTCTCACTCAACACCGACTATCTCTCTCAGTCCTTCTTAGCTAACATGACAAAGCTGAAACCATTCAAGGCACAACCTCCTTCTCCTGGAAGAAGGTCAGGACATCCTCCTGAAAGGGAAGAAGTGAGGGCCAGAGTGATCAGGGACAGTGTTGGTCTGGGACGGAGCTGCACTGTTGCCTTCCTGCTCACCAAGTGGCATGTTATTGAGACTCACGGCACCCAGCTGTGGTGGCCGGGCAGTAGGTGGAGAGTGGTTTCTGCTAAGCTGAGACTAAATGAAACAGAGTGTCTAACACCTGAGAGGTTTTATGACCCACGACACAGCCAGATGTGAGGCAGGGTTTTAAGAGAATTTGTAAGTTCACTGTTCACACTGTTTAATAACCAGTTGAATTACAACGGCGTTTGTCCCTGATGTATTGTCCACAGACTAAGTGAGATGAGCTGATGGGATGATCCAGAAAATTCTAGGTCCTCTCATGAAAAAACTTAAGGAAAAAAAAAAAAACTTTCCACCTCCTGAGAAAAATTACTTTTAAAATGGAAATACTGACTGCTGTTTCTATGCAACTGGCTAATTGTTTCATTCATTCATTCATTAGGAGGAGCAACTATGTGACAGGCATTGCTGGCACTGGGATACAGCAGAGAGCGAGACAGACGTGTCCCTGTCTTCGTGGAGTGTACACTTTGTTGGAACGGCAACATCTCCTCTAAAATGAGAAAAAAATCGTGTGGATGTGAATGAGAATGGAATTTGTTCTCGAGAGCAGAGTTCCTGGCTTCGAGCCTCAACTGCCAGGTCAGTTCTTCAATGAGAGAAATTTTAGTTCTATCTACTGCTTTCCTTTCATTTTCGGCTTCTCGCAGCCTACACCACATGAAGGTGAATGCTCCCCTTTTTCCCCCGGTGGAGATGCAACAGGAATCCGAACAACGGGAAAGATGTAACTTCAGGTCTGACATTTGTTTGACACTGACAGATCTTCCTTCCAGTCAGGAAAAACCCAGTTACTTCTTTTTCCCCCGCATCGAAGGCAAGATAGTCGGTATTTCTCTTGTCTTGTTTAGACTCTGAAATCCTAAATTGATCCCTATGAAAATTCTGAGTTTGGAAGCCCAAATAGATTGGTTCTCATTAGTGACATTCTTCCTGGAAGGTCAGACTAAGGAATGGTAAATAAACGTCGAGATCCGGTGCTTCCTCTTCACCCAAGATATTTAAAAGAAAGAAAGAAAGAAAGAGGGTGGAGTCTTCATGCTGCACAAACCCAGAATCCTTGGTGGTGGTTCTGACAGTCCAGACTAAAGTTAGTGCTTTGGGGTGAAATTTTGGGAAAGTTAGAGAGCTGTTTATTTCTCTTCTCTTTTGTTGATTTGCTCTGTTTCATTAGGAGAGGCACTTATCCTGTCTCTATCTCAGATTCTCCCCTGGAAAACTGAATGATTCTGTAGTTCACCTTTACTGGAATGAATGAGACAGTGTTGATACAGACTTTTCTTGAGCCCGACTCCACCCCGAGCCTCTATGTCTCTGCTCATTCTCTCTGCCCACCTTCCTGGGGCTGGGTTGGAATTGGGGCAGGGGCCCGAGAGGTGGAACGATGCCTGGGATATGGCAGTGTTTTGAGGGCAAGTTTGCCTTGATGTCTGCCTCACTGCCTCGGTGTGAAGGTAAATGGTTCTGTGGCAAGTGTCCGCGCGGACCAAAATAATTCATTTTGTGGGAGAGTGTTTGATTAACTCATGCTTGGTGTAAAACAGAAGGGGGCAGGCTTAGACTTCTTGGCAATTTGAACACTTTGATCAATTAATCTTAGGCATTCATTTATTCATCGGACATTTCTTGAATGCCTGCCATGTGCTAGCCAGGGGGGCTGCACAGTGAGGATGGGGTCAGAGACACAGACCATTTAATCTCAGGGATTTTCCAGACTAGCAGGAGAGCATGGGGTCGTGGGGGCTGTGAAGTGAGCACCTTGGGCTGGGGGCAGCTGGTCGTGGACCGCTTCCAGGCTGAATCCTGAAAGTTGAGTCGGGGTTAACCAGGGGAAGGTATATGGAGGGGGCAGGGAGAGAGGTGGGAGAGAAGAAGCTGGGTTTGGAAAATGTGAATGTGCTGAGTATTGCTGGAACCTGGGCAGGAAGAGAGTTGGGGCTGGGCTGGGAGGAGTCCACAGGAATGAAGAGCAACTCCAGGGGGAGGGCAGGAAGGCTCCACAGGCGCTGGTCCGCAGCATCTGCCAAGCCCAGCGCTGGATTCAGTGGGAGATAGAGAAGAGGAAGCCCCAGAAGCTAGAGGTCCCCCTACTCCAAGGAGGGCCCCAGGACCCACATCCACCATGCAGATATTAAGAAAACAACATGAAAATAACAACAACAAAAGCACATGCGTTCAGCGGCAGCGGGGGAGGTGGCCAGCGGAGGGGCAGAGGAGCGTGCCATGCGGGCTGGGTGGATGACCTGTGAGGAGAGCGTTGGCTCTCACCGGGAAGTGCTGGCCAGGGCACCCCTTGAACTC